TAGAATTTATTCAAGGTTATATGCAACATCAATCAATAGGTTTATTAGAAAATGGTTATCCATTTGTAGAACTTGTGTGTATGTGTGTGGTCCCAATTTCCACAGTTGTTTCCACTGTTTCTCATTATAACTTTCTTGATCGCCCATTCAGGAGCGCCAGTTAAGACTTTGGTGAGATATGAAAAACATGTTTTTTTCTTGCAATGTGACAAAAAACTTAAAAGCCAGAGCAGATTATGGTCTGTCCTGTAATTACAAAATTAATCATAATTACGTCTACTTCTTCTCATTGCTGCTAGGGAATTCCAGTGGACAAATGCAGAATTATGAACCAAGACTGTTGGGTGTTATTAATATCCCCAATGCCATTCACAATCTGGGTTACTGAGAGCCAGGGCTCTGTCGGTCTGATTACTGGTTTTTTTACATCGTGTAATTCCGGCTTTGCGTCAGCTACATGTGTGGCTATTCTGCTCAGATGTTGTCATTCAGGGACAGTCAAATGACAGTATGGGAAGAAATTAAGATTTTCCCCTTCAAGATAGCACTATTTGCAAACTTGTTACTATTGCTGCTGCTACCAGTTGCGTGCAAGGTTCTTATTTCTCAATGTTGCTTCTGGGACCCTCTTCCTATTCTTCACCAATATTATCAGTCTGGAGACCTCATCATTGCTGGCATTATGTCACAGCTTTATATAGCTTCAAGTATAACAACCTTCGAAGAGCCCCCATCTATTGAACTCTTTGATGACAATGTGTAAAGAGATGTACTTTGCTAACCATATTATAGACCTGTAATCAAAATATTCCACATTTGTGATATTGTTGTTTAGTCATTTAGTTGTGTCCACCTCTTCGTGACCCCCTGGACCAGAGCATACCAGTCACTCCTGTCCTCCACTGCCTCCCACAGTTTGGTCAAACTCATGTTGGTAGCTTCGAGAACACTGTCCCACCATCTCATCCTCCACCGTCCCCTTCTCCTTGTGCCCTCTATCTTTCCCAACATCAGGGTCTTTTCCAGGGAGTCTTCTCATGAAGTGGCCAAAGTCTTGGAGCCTCAGCTTCGGGATCTGTCCTTCCAGTGAGCACTCAGGGCTGGTTTCCTTCAGAATGGATAGGTTTGATCTTCTTGCAGTCCATGGGACTCTCAAGAGTCTCCTCCAGCACCAGAATTCAGAAGCATCAATTCTTCGGCAATCAGCCTTCACTTCCATACATCACTACAGGGAAAACTATAGCTTTAACTATATTATTTCATCATTATTCACCATTTCCCCCCTTTTAACAGTTCCAGTGTTTATGGTTGAGGGTAAATTTGCTCAATCAATATTGGTAACTATAAACAGTGTCTGTTCGTAGTGAGCAAACACACAATTGTGAGTAGCTCTTTTAAACTATTTCTGTTTCGAAATCAACAGCTTTTAGTACTTTCCGCATTATTTGTGTAGAGACTCCCCCCCCCCCCCGCCATATTTGCCATTTTCAGTTTTGGATTCATTTATTGTTTATCGGTCACCTATGCTGAAAGGAATGGTTCATCACTTTCAAATAGTGAGTTTTAGGTTATCCTTAGAATAATGAGAACTACGATGTCCTCAACTCATTTTAAAAATATTCCCCCTGATCTTATCATTTGTACAAGCAGCAGCAACAGCAACAGTAATGGGATTAGGACTTGTAGTAACAAAAGTAATAATATTAGTAGCAACAACAATGGTATATTAAGTTTCTGCCCTAGAAAAATACATGCACATTGCTGTGGGAAGCATGACTCTGAGACACATGTAAATGTGTGATGAATATGTGAAATTTCCAAATGCACAACCTTAATTACAAAATATCTCAGGATTTATCTGAAAATAAATTGCAATTAATATAAGAAAAGCACATTCTATTTTTTGAGTTTTCCAGAATTCAGTAGTACCGGTAACTAAAGTATTGCTGGTGTTTCCGTGCGCTGCTCTGGTTCGCCAGAAGCGGCTTAGTCCTGCTGGCCACATGACCCGGAAGCTATATGCCGGCTCCCTCGGCCAATAAAGCAAGATGAGCACCGCAAACCCAGAGTCGGTCACGACTGGACCTAATGGTCAGGGGTCCCTTTACCTTTACTAAAGTATTGCTATGTATAGTTGAGTGATGTGAATGCATATGTACTCCTGCTCATGGAAACAACACATCCATATTTGTCTGCCAATGTTACCAAACATTCTCCTACACTGGGTGCATACCGTAATTTTCGCTCCAAAACACGCACTTTTTTGCTCCTAGAAAGTAAGGGAAAATGCCTGTGCGTGTTAAGGAGCGAATGCACTCGACTGGATCCATGGCTGCCGTCAGTCAAGCAAAGCGGGAGCCGCTTGCAGGGCTTTGCACTGCTCTAGCTTTGCTTGCTTTACAGCCAGGAGGAGGGGGAGGAGCCGAGGAGGGAGGGAGGGAAGGAGAGCCATGGCAGCAAAGCGGGCAGCAGCCGCTTACACGCGAGGAGGGACAGACGGGAGCCATAGGGAGCCGGAAAAGCGCCGCGTAGCCAGCAACAGCTGCTGCAGCCTCAGCTAGCAACGCTCTCTAAACGGAGCAATGAGGCTGCAGAGGGACGGCAGGGCACAGGAGGGCTCTGAGCCACGAGCGCAGTGAAAACCAGTAAAAAAGTTTTTAAAAAGGCTGCTGGGGACAGGAGGGCACGGGATGAGGGAGAGAGGGAAATTACGATTCTCCCAGCGTCTCAGCTGATCCGCTGAGCAGGACTTGGGTTGCAGGGGATTCGCCATTAGCTGCGTAAAGCAGCAAAGAGGGAGAGAAGGAGCAAAGTGGGAGAGGAAAGGAGCTGCTTACACTGCTGTAAGTGGCTGCTGTCTGGTTGGCTCCTTTAAAGCAACAGTGCTCTTTCCCTCCCCCCTCCCCTCTCAGCTCACCGAAAAGCTCCTTTTCCACACACCCCACTCGAGCTCCTTCTCCCCTTAAATCCCTCTCCTGCATCATTAGCCACATCCTTCTCTACACACCCCACGCGTGTTCCTTCTCCCCTTAAATCCCTCTCCTGCATCATTAGCCACATCCTTCTCCACCCACCCCACGCATGTTCCTTCTTCCCTTTAACCGCTCGCCTGCATCATTAGCCACATCCTTCTCTACACACCCCACGCGTGTTCCTTCTCCCCTTAAATCCCTCTCCTGCATCATTAGCCACATCCTTCTCCACCCACCCCACGCGTGTTCCTTCTCCCCTTTAACCGCTCGCCTGCATCATTAGCCACATCCTTCTCTACACACCCCACGCGTGTTCCTTCTCCCCTTAAATCCCTCTCCTGCATCATTAGCCACATCCTTCTCTACACACCCCACGCGTGTTCCTTCTTCCCTTTAACCGCTTGCCTGCATCATTAGCCACATCCTTCTCTACACACCCCACGCATGCACCTTGTCCCTTGAATGCTTTTCCTTCCCTCCCTACTTAAAACGTGGTTACAAAGCACGGATCCACATGGATCCTCAGGATTTTTGCACTGGGTCACCCCAGGTTCACCATCAGATCACATAAAATGTCCATGGCTACAGCCTGCACCAAAAAAATCACGCACCCACTGTTTCATGGGGCTGCAATGGCGCAAAAACGTGGTTACAAAGCATGGATCCACATGGATCCTCAGGATTTTTGCATTGGGCTACCCCAAACTCACCGTCAGATCACGTTTGTGGCCACAGCATGAACCACAAAAATCATACATCCACTGTTTTGTTTAGAATATTTTTTTCTTGCTTTCCTCCTCTAAAAACTACGTGCGTGTTATGGTCAGGTGCGTGTTATAGAGCGAAAAATACGGTATATTAATAGAATCATAAAATTGTTGAGTTGGAAGGGACCCTGAGGTTCATCTAGTGCAACTCCCTGCAACGCAGGAATCTCAACTAAAGCATCCATGACAGATGGCCATCCAAATTCTGCTTAAAAACTACCAATGTAGGTGAGTCCACAACCTTCCAAGGGAGTCGGTTACCCTGTTGAAGAGTTTTTACCATCAGGAATCTCTTCCTGGTGTTTAGTCAGAATCTCCTTTCTTGTACCCTGAAGCCATTGGTCTTTTTGAGACAACTAGATATCTTTATAGAAAAAGAAAGGAGAGAAGAAAAGAAAGAAAAACAGGAAAAAACAAAATAAAAGGGCTTCAGATTCTGTCTGTCAGTTACATAAAAAGAATGATTCAGAACATTCACTCCACAACATTCAAGTATTCCAGTACCCATAAACCAGTATTTTTCCAATCTTGAAATCCAGTTATTGTGTGTTCACCTTCAATTTCAAACAAGTCCAGAAACGGTTCCCAATTTATAATATTGTTAAAAGTTAGCAATAGTTTTTCAGTAGCTAAACATACCAGCTTTGCCTCCACCAATTTCAGCAAGCATACCTCCATATTAAATAACGATAAATCTTTCCCTCTCTGTATGTATAAGAGTATCACATCTGTGAACATACATTAAGACAATATTCAATATACATTGGTCCACACTCAGTTCTTTACCTTCAATTTCCACTTCTTGTAGTATTTGCTATGTTTTTCCAGCCTGATCCCATTTACGTTTCCATTTGCATTTCTTCCATTCTTTTTTCACAAAGCGTGCCAGGGATTTAGTAGCTTTGTAACCTGGGATCACACCGAGTCGTAGGGAGAGCTCTTTCTCTCTCCATTCCACAGATGCCCAGAAATCTCTCCATGTCTCCATTTATAACCTCATTTATGTTTCCCAGAATCCCAGTTCTATCACTGAGTTGCTTCATTTCTCCATATGCCTGTATTCTCCCAATTCATCAAGTGAGTTCTTCCAGCTCATCAGTTGCTCCTTGTAGCTTTGCCATAGTTTCATCTCTCACTCTTGCCAGTTCTTTGTTGTCAAAAGCTGCCATCAATTTCATTCACCTCTGGTTTAATTTAGTTCTGTGCATTTTTATATATGAATCTCATTTCCAGGTCAGTGACACAACTCTACCAGCACATTATGGCCTTTGTATTTGCTGTAGAGGAGATCAATGAAAACCCCTATATCTTACCCAATGTCACACTGGGCTGCCACATATATAACAGCCATTTCACCGCAGGCTGGACCTATCATGCCTCAGTGGAACTCCTCTCTGGACGGGGCAGACTCACCCCCAACTACAAGTGTGATGGTGAGAGCACTCCAGTAGCAGCCGTTGGGGGACCAAACTCCGACTTATGTCTCTACATGTCAGCTGTCCTGTCCATGTACAAGATGCCACAAGTAAGTTAAGTGTATAGACATTTGCTGGTGAGAGATTTCTCCAAAACATTCTCACCCTGTTTGCTGAGGGAGGTTTGTGTTTTGATTTCATGCAAAGGATTACAAAAATCACATTTTCTAATGCTAATTGAATCAGTAGAATAAAGTTACAAAGCAACCAGTACTAGTATGGGAAGAACTGAGTGCTACAGTGGAGATAAGCATTTCCTCTCTAAACATAATATCCATAAATGCCAATTAGAAAGATTTGCCAATGCCAGTTAGAAAGTCATTGCCTGTACAGGGAATGACTTTCTTTCTTAAGGCTTTAGAAACATAATCCATGATCTGCATTGTTTGAAATGGAAAACACTTTTTTATCACCTTAACACAGTATTCAATCAATCAACCGTTACTGGCCAATCCGTATGACATAATTTCCTATAAATCAGCACACTAGTTGACCTTAAATTTGTTTCACCTAGTTCTCTCTCTCTGCCTCTCTCTCTCTCTCTCTCTCTCTCTCTCTCTCTCTCCTGTTCCCATATCTTTCTAACATACTTTCTTTCTTGTTCTACTCACTGTTCTATTACTGGCATCCCAATTGCATATATACATCACCCAAATTTACAAAGCTTATGTCCAGGGTACCTCAAGGACTGCCTGAACCCTTATATCCCAGCTCAATCACTAAGATCATATGCAGGAGCATCTCTTGTCATTCCATGAGTTGACAAGGCTCATTTGACTACCACAAGAAACCAAGCTTTTAGCGATTTGCACAGTATTGACTCAATTCAATTCAACCCAATCTCCTTTATTGGCATAAAAAGAGTGCATTGTATATATGGATCCGAACACAACACAGGTAACAAAACATAGTAGGAGGTACTTTGGGATAAAACCATCCAGACATCGTGAGAAGCAAAGACGGCTCTAAAGATCTATAGGGGCGTAATTTCATGGCGTCACTCAAAATTTTTGCCACATTCTCCACAGAAGTCAACAGGGACTTAGCAGGTGTCTTCTGCTTCAACTTGTAAATGTCTGCTGAAAAGTTTTATATACCATCAGTTTTACGTAGGCAATGAAGAGTCCATCTTTCTACCATAGTTGCCTGATTTCTGATGTTAACTCTTTTTTTGTAGGGTTTTTATGGTATAGTTATTATGTCCAGTTTTTGTAAAATTCTTTGATGTTTTCTATGAATTGATATATATACACCCACCTGCCTTGTATAACTAAAAGTCACTTAAATCAATACTTTTCCAAAACCACTCCCTTCTAATTCTATTAACCTAATGGAATTATTTTTGGGGGGCAGGGGACCTTCTTGTCCATAAACGTTAATCAAAGAAAAAAAGCCCCAAAATATTTAGTTTTGTTGAAACCTGGTATCTTAATGTTGTGACACTTCCCTCTTTTAAAAATTATTCTCTTTAGCTCATCTACGGCTCTTCTCCTGTGACAAATAGCAACATCCAAGGAGCTTTTCTCCATCAGATGTTCCCAAAGGGGTCTCATCAATATAAGGGGATTCTCCAGCTCCTGCTGCATTTCAGATGGATATGGATTGGGGTGTTATCTCTCAAAGACGACACTGGAGAGATGTTTGTACAAAATGTTCTTCCCATGTTTGCCGAGAGAGGCATTTGCGTTGCTTTTCAAGAAACATTTCCTAAACTAACATTTTCCAGTGAGTTTTATGAAACACTTGAGGAAGGTTCAAAAGCATTGGATATTATTATGGAAAGCTCTGCCAATGTTGTGCTTGTGAATGGTGAAATTCATACCATGATGGTAATGAGGGCCATGCTCAACCTTCAAGGAACAGATGATATACCAATGCAATCCAAGACAAAGGTCTGGATTATGACAGCACAGATGGATTTCGCTTCGTGTTCATTTGTGAAATATTTGGACATACAAGTCTTCCATGGAGCTCTATCCTTTGCAGTCCACTCAAAGGAGATTCCTGGATTCCAGAAATTTCTTCAGATGAGAAATCCTAACTTGGAAGTTGAAGATGGCTTTATCAGAGACTTCTGGGAAGCAGCATTTGAATGTGTTTTCCCTCATCCATCTCTAGAGAAAGCACACAACAAATGTTGCACTGGGGAGGAGAAGCTAGAGGACCTTCCTGCATCTGTTTTTGAAATGAAGACAAGTAGCCACAGCTATGCCGTCTACAATGCTCTATATGCTCTTGCACATGCTCTGAATGCTATGCATCACCACACAATAAAATACAGAGCAATGGCAGAAGAAGAGAAATGGGATTTCCTAAGTCTACACTCCTGGCAGGTAATGAGAGATTCCAACATAGGGTTGCCATATGTCCAGATTTTCCCTGACATATACAGAATACTGCAGCCAGCAGCAGTGTCTGGGCAGAAATTGGTCAAATGTCTAAGTAATCGGTCAAATGTCAGCAGTGCCGTTTTTGCTGATTTTCCATAAAAATAGCTCAAAAATGGTAGTTTTTTTCCTGCAATTTTGCCAAAAAAGCTCAACAACTTTGCTCCCAAAACAATTGTTCTGTCTGGATTTTAATGGCTTGAAATATGGCAACCCTAAACTAAAAAAGTTTACTATATCTGTGAGTATCTAGAAATTGTTTTATGTCATTTTATGTTATTTTGCACCCTATGGTGTTAACTGTTTTGAGAGTTGTGCAGGGGGGATAAAAAATATTATAATAAATGCATATCACTGCTAAGACATGGAGTGCTCTGGTTTCTTTTTAAAAACAATTTATATCATTCCCACTTTTTTGTATATCCTCTGATATTTAACTGTTTTGAGTGCTGTGATCTCAGTGGACAGATTGAATTTAAGATTTCATATCATTTTCCTAGTGCTAAAAATACTCTCCAAAGAGCATTTCCATGAATCATTAGTCAATTTGTTACACAATCAGTTTCTAATAAGTCCCTTATACAAAAATGACAAAGATTAACCTGCATAGTTTTTTAAAGAACAATGAACCATAACAATGAACTGTTAATTATGTGAAATGTAATCAGCTTCTTGTAAATGTAAATTGCTCAACAAATGATTATGAATTCCATTTTTTATTCTCCCTCTGATCTAGCTCCACAAAATTCTGAGAAGAGTCTCTTTTAACAATAGTGTTGGGGGGAAAGTTTCCCTTGACCAAAATGGGGAATTAATTACTGGATTTGATATAATCAATTGGGTTGTGTTGCCAAATGAGTCCTTTATTAGAGTCAAAGTTGGAGCAATGGACACACAGGTTGCCTCCGAAGAAGGCTTCAGCTTGGATTATGATGCCATTGTGTGGCCCAACAGGTTCAACCAGGTAAAGTCCACTCCAGGGATTCTCCATTCATTTCCTCAATGGTCAATAAATGTTTCACTGGTTAAACCCTAAATCAGATATCCCTCACAGTTAAATTAAATGTGGCTGGGAGATCTGGGACCACAGCACCAATCTAGATCATCTTCCAAAGTATTGATTCCAATATTGATGAGGAATACATCAGGATCAAACAAGAGCTCAACACATTGGACAGAGGGACAAGGATTAATTTTGATGAAAGCATTCAGGAAGCTTTGAATCATAGAATCATAGAATCATAGAGTTGGAAGAGACCACAAGGGCCATCGAGTCCAACCCCTTTGGGGCTATCCCTTCTTGATATTCAAAGGAACTGAATAGGTTGTCTAATTACTGTTTTACTAACATATGGGGGTTCAACTAAATGACCTTTGGGATCCCTTCCAACAATTCTATGGTGTGATATGATTGGCTGTGCAGCACATTCAGCCAACTCCCAAACAGGACCAGGCCCATTCAGGCCAATTGGTGTCCTGTCCTGATAGGGTTGAAGCAGCTACAAATCACTACAGGGTGGACCAGCACATCCAAAATCAGTTTGTAGAAATCTGTGCCATTTTGTACCTCAGAGCAGCCCCTTTTAAGAGCAGAATGTCTCTGAAATGTGGCAACTGTTAATTATAATTGAAGATAAGGAGAACACCTAGGTGGAGACCCCACCCAACACTCTCCAATCACATGCTGGGCAGTGTGACACTGAAGGGGTTTATTTTCTATCTTTTCCCAGTCAATCCCAGTCCTATCCTTCTGTGTGTTCTTTTTTAAAAAAAATAATTGCTGTGTTTTAAAATTTTCTCACTGCTAATCATTGTTGATGTTGTTGCTGCATTTATAGTTTCTCACAACAAAATATCAGAAGGACACACCTCGCTTGCTTTTTAAAATAATTTTTATTAGTTTTCCAATATACCCCCAATAATAGCCAAATTATAACAATTATCAATTCATTCCCAAATAATATAATTATCAAAGTGCCAATCAACTTCCAATTAATACGTTTTAGTTAAAGTGGCTCCCCCCATAATGGTTTGGGTGCGTTTCCGATCTCATATCACTGCGTTCCATAATCTCAATTAATGTTGGTTACATTTCAGTTATGATAATAATAATCCCTTAGTCAACAGCTACATAATTAATGATTTCCATTCGTGATGTTACAATATATAAATTTATAAAGCTTCAAGTGAGGAACTCAAACTATTAAGGACCCAGCTTGTTTTCTGCATCCTAGTGGTGTTACACCATTTTATTTTTTAACCCAAGTGCAGCGGGCCAGAGGTCACCGGTGGGAAGAGTTTGGAAGTGCAGATGCTGCAAAAATGGAATGACAATGGCTTGTGATCTAAATGGCCACAACTTTATTGATTACAGTTTTAGGCCGGCTTTGGCATAGGCATTGGGTATTTATCCTGAATCAGCCAATGCTATGATAGGGTCTCTACTGCGACTTCAATGAATATTTTACTTTTTCTCTTTGCTGACAATTTGCCCCTCAGAAGACCCCTGACTTTTGTTATCCTACCAAGTGGGCTGCTGCCTGCCCATTAATCTCTAGGTTTTTAAAAAGATAAACACAAAGGTTCTCAAATACTTGGTGTAAGAAACTGGGCAAACACATGAGTATGAGAAGTTGCAGAATTGAGCACTCATGGTGTCAGGGGCTCAGGAGCAGAGGCACAGGGGAGAGAGGAAATGGAGAGCGAAGGGGAAGAATCTGAGGGCAGCGTAGGGGAGTATGACAGTGACCCGAGAGATTCCGTGAGCTTCTCCAGCGAATCAGAAGATTCCCAGAAGGGGGCGCCGATGGTCAGGGCAAGGGGGGTCCCAGGGGGGATGCACCAGAAACAAGGGGCCAGCGGGGACTCCCAAAGCAGCAGTGGGAGATCAGGACCAGCTTCCCCACCAGAGCGTAGTGGGGGGGAAGAGTCCCATGTGTCAGGGCCAGCGTCTCCTCCAGCGGGAAGAGAAGATGAGTCAGGGCTGACCACGCCTCTATCGGAGAGTGGGGGAACGGAGGGGAGGTCAGGTCCAGCTAGCCTCCCCGAAGGGGGAAGCAGTGACAGGAGCAGTGCAATGGTCTAGAGTTTGAGACGTAGAGCTGCGCGCCGCGGCTGTGAAAGCGAAACTGAACTTCAATAAAGACTTTTGTATATAAAAACGAACTGGCGTTGGTCCTTTGTGAGCTGGGACCTCGGGCAGCTCTGACAGTAAGCTCCGTCTCTATTATAGAATTGAACCCTCGCAGCGTGAGTTGGCGCAGCGAGGGGCAAAACTTGGTGTTTTGCGAGCTCAAGAAGATAGGCAAAGATGACTACAGAGGAGAAGGTGACAGAACTGCAAGAAGCAGTCACGACGCTTTACGCAGAAGTAGCAGCATCCAGAAAGAGAGAGGAAGAAGCAGTAGCGCTCTGCCGGGATCTGCAAACCAGGTGGGAACGTTTGGGCAAAGAGGGGCTGCCAGGACCCAAGCCGGAGGGAGTTGGCCTCGGGAAGAGGGGGTGCAGCATCGTAGCCCACTTCGACGGGAACCTGCAGCAGTATCCTAACTTCAGAGCAGACATAGTTTCCGCGCTCAATTTGCTTCGGAAAGACTTTAGAGATGATGAGGAGAAAGTAGGCTTCATAATAACTCATCTGCATGGGGAAGCTAAATCGTGGCTGCGCAATTTATGGCGCGAAAATGATCCCGCCCTCCAAGATTCAAAAGCATTTATCAAGGCTATGGACGATTGTTTTAAATCAACGGTAGATGTGGATGTGGCCAGGAGGGAAATGCATGGGCTGAAGCAGGGCAAAGCCACTGTGAGACAATATCACTCCCGCTTTTTTGCGTTAGTAAATGTGCTGGGTTGGGAGAAGGACTCCGCTGCCGTAAGGGATCTGTTCTGGGAGGGACTAAATGGGGCCGTGAAAGATGAGCTGGCGAGGGGAGAGAGACCTAACAGCACCACAGAAGTCGTCCAGAGAGTGCTGGCAATAGGGGTGCGACTGGAAGAACGCCCTTGGAGCAGGGATGAGGGAAGTTTGGGGCGCACACCAGCCAGAACAACTCCCTTCCTACCCAGAGAGACAGGGCGCGTGCAATCCACGCCTCCACTGGAGGGGGGAGAAGAGCCGATGGAGACAGGTGGTGCCAGGGCTCAGACAGCGACCAGAGCCCAAACACCAGGAGCAGTCAAGGCGAAGGCTCCTAGAGGGACCAGGAAGTGTTATATCTGCGACAGTGCACAGCACATGGCCAAAGAGTGTCCCCAGAGAATCCAGAGGCACACTGCAGCCTCAGCAACAGTAAGGGGAGCAGTTCAGCAGGGGGAACAGCTACAGGGAAACGACGAAGCCTGGTTGGAGGCAGAGGCGCTGGGGCCCAGCCAGGCGAGTCAGTGAAGCAATCCCCAGAGATTTTACAGCCCACAGACCCCCTCCCACCCAAACCAGTGGTGCAACTCACCGCATCGCTCCAGCTGCCCAATGGACTCACCCTGGAAGTCCCTATTACCATTGACTCTGGTAGTAGTGCAGACTTTGTAGGAGTGGACTTCATCAGGCAACATCGCATAGCGCTCCTACCAGCCACGATGCCCCTAAACATCGTCACGGTCGATGGCAGAGAGCTACTGGGAGGACAGGTGGTACAGCAAACACCGCCTATGGCAATGCAAATTGGAAATCACCGCGAAGTCATCAGCTTCAACGTCACCCACCTGTCGGACACGCCCATAGTGTTGGGCATGAGTTGGCTGGATAGGCACAGCCCGGCATTAGCATGGTACCAGCGGCAATTGACCTTCTGCTCCTCCTACTGCGCAGAACACTGCATCCGGACCAGCCAGGAAGAGGAGGGGCAAGAGGATGAACCACAGCTACACCTAGGCATGGTGCAAGCGGTACCCAACAAGTACAAGGCGTTTTTGGAGGTCTTCTGCGAGAAGGAAGCGGACAAGCTGCCTCCCCACAGGCCCTACGACTGCAAGATTGACCTCCTGCCGGGGGCGACGCTGCCGACTGGAAAACTGTATTCCATGTCTGAAGACGAACTGCAAGAACTCAGGGAGTTCATAGATCACAACTTGAAGCGGGGATTCATCCGAGAATCCAGAGC